TTTGCTCCTCGGTCAACTGCTTCTTGTCCTCTTTCTCAGATTGGCCCTGAAATCGACCGTGACGAAACTCTTTGACCGGGTCGGTCGATGTCTGGGTCAGTGAACAGCGACACATCGAGCAGCTCGTCTTGAGCTCAGCGCTACTCCACCTCCGAGCTGACCTGTGAGCCGTGGAAGGATAGAGCAGAACTCGAACTACCAAGTGTGTGCTACTTCATCCCATGAATCGGGCATGGTTTAAAGTAAGAGAAGAGACCACAGGCAGCTTTCAACCCACCAGCTCCTTTGGAATCTTTGGACGCCCTCCTCAACCCCCCAAGCTCTTCTTGCTCACCATATGAAGTGAGCGCTCACATCAAACCAAGACTTCTGCCAGGCACTGTATCTAGCGATTCATTAATCCGCTGTCTCTTAAGGACGTGGCTCCCGTTTGTCTTGTTCCAGCCCATTCTCTTAAGGACGTGGCCCCGAAGATGCTCAGTGCAGTGCCGTATCCGGAATCATGGGTATTACACTCCGATGAACACATCGAAGTGGAACATGGCTGGGAAGACCATGTTCCCAGCCATACAGGTGCTTTTCAGCGCTGAAACCACTTCCATGTTAGTAAGTCAGAGTGTACATGATACTAGTACGTAGGTTGGAGGCCATCGATAGCAGGTTGGCTTAAAGTCTTTTTCTACAAAGGTATGTTTAATATTCTTTTCGGCTGGAGTGCACATGATGCTACTGGTCTCGTTTCGGAACGCCTCTAGACTGTTCAAACTCTTCCACCAGCTTGGCCACGTCATCATCCATGAAGCCGCGCATTTGGGCGAACGAAGAAACTAGGAAAACCCATCCAAGGCAAACATGCCAAACCAATCCGAGACAAACATGTCAAACCAATCCGGAACAGTTCACTTGATACAATTCGCTACATGTCCCCACATTTGGCGATTCACCGCATTTCGTTTTGCCGATCCTCTGCGCAAGCATGAACTCGTTGGTGAAGCTTGAGCTGAAAAACACCATGACAGAGATGCTGTGACCGGAAGCGAATCCGTTCGAGTCCACATCCAAAACGAAAGGAGGAAGGGGAGCGCTGGCGAGTGTTGTTGTTTCACACACACACACACACCAATTGATTTGGCACTGGATGTTGGTACCAGTAGGGTGTACGCGTCCAAAAGAAACCTCAACAGATCCAATACGCTAGCTTTAAACCCTTCTTTGTTGTTTGTTGATGTTTTCATGCTCTGCTGCCCATCTGCTTTGTCAACTGGGATCTTTCTGCGTGTTCAAGCCACTCTGCCCTCCTTCCGCACCCAGATTTCTCGGTCTTTCGCGTCTGCGGTTTTTTGCGCAGCTTTCCACTTTGAGCTGTGCAACACTTTATTGCCCATAGATGCCCATTGTGCCGAAGTGGCACTACTATGGGATGCCTCACCTGCTGAAAAGGCATACCGGTCAGACTCTTGTGGACTAAAAAACACACTCACTGGTCAGACTAAAGAAGGAGTTGACTCATACAGCTGACAAAATCAGGCCGGCATGTTGATTTATGTCAAATAACTACCTAAGAAGCTACTAGTAACAAGGTGCATCGCTACTAGTAACAAGAAGCTACTAGTAGCTATTTGCTACTAGTAGTAAATTTCATGAGTAAACTCTTTGTGTCATTCTCCCTCATCCGCTATCATCCGCTCATCCTGCACGGCGAGGCTTCTCCTCTCTCAGCTCTCCTTGAAGGGCTTGGGCCCCAAAATTCGCAAAACCTCGAAATGTCGAATCGAACAGAGAAACGCAGCGATTCGTGTGGGGGTGTCGATGGCGAGCTCCAAATGGATGGTTTCTCGGTCTAATGGAAGATGCTTCCATTGATGCCAAGGCATCTCACAGAATTTCCCAAGAACACCTCTCACAGTGAGCTACCTATGCAGCTCCTTACTCTTGTCTTGGTTTGTTTGGGTTCTTTACTCCTCAGATGGAAATTCATGAATTGCTGGTCGGGTCCCCCCGAAAGGGAGAAAACCCCCGTTTCACCAATGCCGTGACGCCGCTCGATGCGCGAACCGGCCAAGCTGATTTGGGGCCCCGGCCCGTTGCTCTTCTTCTCGACGGTCAACAGCCGCAGTCCTTGCGCAATGGCCATGCAACAAAAAAATCAGCCAGGTGCAACAGCACCAATGACTCCTCATCAGTTGTCTTGGACAATATCTCAATATGTCCAAACGGATGCCGTTCTTTGGTCGTTAGGCAAACTGGGCCGTACCTGAATTGCTTTCCAGAAGAGATAGATCTTTGAGTGTGGAGGCATGTGGAGGGTCATGTGGAGGGTCTGGTGCTTCAACAGTCTTGCTGCTGTATCGCACAATGTCACAACTCTACGATGCAACACTGCATGATGAAGCAATCAAGCTGGCCCCACCTACCTTCACCTACCACATCGACTATACCCCTTGAATTCTCTTCTAGTTCCTTAGTTCTTGAGCCAGCAACAAAGGACCCATGCGATGGTGATCTCCTAAAGGCCACCCATGCGATGTGAGGGAAGGTGTCCAGGTCGGTGCTATCCACTCGTTGTGGGGCTCTCAGCCACCTTAGTCAAAGCAATGGCCTAAAACCTACTAGCGATGGCTTCCAACCTAGGATGCTGAGCAAGGACAAGATCTCTTTTGTAGTCCAAATTGGAAGTGTGGACCGTACCTGAAGTGCAGCGTTTCATCCAAGGCTAAGCCCAAAGCCGGGTCGAAGTCACTGGCATAAGATCTTTCGCATGTTTTTCCACATTTGCTACTGGCACAAGTGTCCCTTCTGTTGTGTTCCAATGAGGGAAGACGCAGTTGTCTTGCCTGCCTTGTCTACCTTGGGCGCCATTTTGCCGTTGAGTGACTCTATTACTTCACTGCAGGTTCTTGCCCTATCAGTGGACAAGGAATACCGAGAATCCGAACTCTTGAGTAAAGGATCCATAGACGTAGAGGGCCCAAAACCAACCTGGGCCCGAAGAAACGGGCGGAACCTGAGGAGCAAAACTCTGAACACCTACGAACATCGAAGGGGACGAACTCGGGAACATAATATCCCAATAGCTCCTTCGGGCAGCTTTTTGGTCGAATTTTTGAGATCACCGATGGTCACCGTGGCTTTTGGCAAATGGATGCAAATTGTAAAGATGTTGGCAACAGCCCCGGCTTTGAGACCCAAAAACGCACAAGGTCCCTCAGAAATGTCTCTCCAAAACAAGTGGCAGGATTTTGGACATCACCGGCCGTCGCATTGCTGAAAGCTCATGGCCAGTGTTGGATGCAGAACCGACATATCCAGGACGCTTGCTCCTAGTAGTAAGGCCAGGAGCCCCTAGTAGCTTCTTGTTACGTTCGTAGTAAGAATGCTCAGTTCGTAGCGATGCCAGGCCTCGTTCGTAGCGTCCTTGCTCATCTTTAGAACAACTACCGATCCCCCAACCCCCCCAAAACCAACGACGGAATCAAGGCCCCGCACTCCCGTCCTCTGCATTGCGTTCGCCCAGAATGCTTTGAACCTGAGCTGAGCTTCTTACCAAGCTTTTGAGGTGGACATGCTTTTTGTATGTGGACATGAACCCAGCAAAAATCCCTGGAGCGATTCCTGAGCATCTTTGGTAGGCCTTCCACATCTTTCGCACTCCATTCGTGCCTCCAAGCCCGGGGCTCCCAGCCACATGACCGAACTCGCCTCCATAGTCGTCAAATTCAATCCCGCCCTCCTGGAGCTTCGAACTGGTGCACGGGTGACGGAGCGTCTGTGAGGTTCGAAGGGCACCGAAGCCACGGTTGACGGGTGCCGAAGCCACCGAAGGCCAGGTCGTTCCATGAAGAGGGTGCCGAATGAACGGAAGTCGGGAGGGAACATCCACGGCCCCTGGATGTGACCGAAGCAAACCACCCTTTTGTGACGAAGCAAGCAAGCACTGAGCTTCTTCTTCTTTTCGAATTCTCAAGCCTGTCTCTGTCTCCTTCTTCACCACAAAGGTGGTCCAAATTGCTTCTATTGACCCATGACGAACGCGGTCAGCCCAACATCAGTGGGCGAGTTCTGATCCGTTCCCGCCGATCCCACGGAGCTGAAACGAAACGTCGACGTGACTATCAACGAAGGGACTTGGTCACCCGTCCGCAAGCGTGTCTGACGGAGCATCGAAAAGTAGACCACGCACCAGAACTGCCCACGACGATGTCCGGAACCAATCAATGATTATGCGAAATGAAGGTGCACAAAAACTCCTTTTGTGAACATGAATTAAATGCCAAGACTTCGTTGGGGCTTGCTTTGGGGTCTTTCGTGGATCACACCCTGTCCAATCCTTTCGTAACAAAAACACCCCAGCTTGACATCGCTCTCGTTTCTATGTGTCGTGTGCCTCATCTCCATCCCTGTTTCCCCATGGCTCTCCATGTCGCGCTCGTTTTCCTTTCCTGGTCGCTCAGGAGCTGCTCTGTGAGTTGCCATCCTGTGCTGAGCTCAGAGGAGATCGGAGCGCTATAGGAGACCTCCCAAACGTCGCCGCGGGGGGACGGCCGAGGAATTGGTGAGAGGAGCTGAGGACGTGGATGGTGACATTCGGAAGATGGTGGGTTAGTTGATTAATGTTGTGACATTTTGGGGTGATGTGGACCTGTCTTGCATGCTGCTTTATCTGTTTTCTTTTGGTCTGTACTGAGAACTGGGGTGTTTTAAGGGTGCTCAACAAGGACAAGGACCTTGGCTACTCCACAAAAGGACCCTCCAACGCAGGAGTGTCGCAAATGGGACTCGGACGATCTTTTTCTGACACTTTCTCAGACTTTCGCAAGCTATGGAACTGATGGACATCATAAGAAACTGATGGACATTCTCATCAAGCAGGTCTTCTCCGAAGAGAAGGTACCCGCAGTCTGGCACGACGCACGACTCCGGTGGTTTCATCCGGTGACTGAAACAGACTCCGTTGGTTCAAATGCACTTTATGGAACTTTTCGTCTAAATCACATCCACCAGTCGCAGGCTTTCTTCACCAGTTGAAATCACCTGGGCCCCGCGACCCGCGCGAAGTGGAGCGCGACGTGGCGCTGCACTCAGAGCTTGGAGGAGATCTTCTGTCCCAAATGCTTGAAACGAGCCTTGGCCAAGATCACGCTGAAGACCATGACCGCCACCGATGTGCCGATGCCAGAGGCATACCTCAAAATACGGGAGAGTGGTCAAAGGCCCTAATTTATTGTGTACAAGGCAAGCGATAAAGCATGATAAAGCCCTGAAGCGCAGAAAAACAACCTTCAAGAATCTTACTTTAAGGCATCTACAACTTGCTAGTTCAAGAACTTCTTGGTCAAGAGTAGCACTGATACCCCAAAAAACAAAACCCATAAACAAACCGACGATGGGCTTCCTCATTTATGGGCCTTCCAAGCTAGCAGTCTTAGCTAGTCGCATGTGGGAGGGTTGCGATATTTCGTATCACCATCCCCGAAACCCTAAACCCTAAAACCAGTCGCCTGAACCAGTCGCCTGATGCACAGCAGTTGAGTTGTCGTTTCACATCCTTTCTTCGTCAGCAATCCGTTAGCCCACATGCTGGGCTGGCGCCGAAGGAAAAAGCGACTTTGTGACAAACGAACAAACAAACCCAAGCGAACAAACATCACCACTATTTGAATGAAGGTGAATGACTGTACACTCTGAACTTCTCAGAAACACTAGACTCAGGCTTCCCAACATCGATTGCCAGGGCACCAAATGCCTTTGACGCCCAAGCCGAAGTGGAAGGCTAAGAAGTAGCCGGCAGGGAGCATGAGGCCATAGTAGCTCAGCAAATAGACGACCTCTGAGGACTGTCCCAGCATCTATCTGGGGGAAAAGATGGGTATACACCAGGGATGATGGGGCCTGGTTGCTGACTTGAAAAGAACAATAGGACACACATATTTACACCAGCAGAGTCAGCGGCTGCAAAATCAAGCTCTGTTTCTTGAAAGGATTGAGCCCAGGTGAGGGAGAAGCTCCTTGTTCAAGCCAAAGTACCGAACATTTCCAAGTAAAACACACGAAGTTGAGCTATTCCAAGGGAACGTTCGTTTACCCAAAACTATCCACATCCCATCGTGCTGTTTTGCCAAGACCAGGTTGAGGGGTATTGCACGTTCCCAGTCATAGTGTCATTATCTGATAGTTGAGCTTGTTGCTGTTGCAATTGTGGCAGCAAGCTGTCCAGTGATGGACTGTTCATCCCGCATGGTGCAAAGAATGTCAGGGACAGTCACCTGATCCATCCGGTTCTTCTGCGTATGCAGGGGTTTTCTTCAGGGGTTCGGACAGTCTGGTGACGGATTCTCTCACCTTTGACCGAAAACAATTCTGCCTCTGTTGGTCGACTTGTCCTCTAAAGCGAGCGAATGGATGACTCCAGTGCTTCAGTGTTGTATTTCTTACCTCAGAAATTCCACCCATCCAGGTGATCTTTAGGCCAAGTGACATATCTCAGTTCCACAACCTGCTCTGCCTCTCAGTTGCGCCCACCCAAGGGACGCATGATTCACTCGGGTAAGAAAGGCCTTCCGACACATCCAACTCCCCAAGATTTCTGGCGCGACAGGCCGACGCCTTCCCGACGGCACGCGGCGAAAGACATGGCAACTCGCTCAGCGCCCAGCGCTCAGCACCACGTCTCTCATGATTCTGCTCCGTTTACTTTGGAGGAACTCTCATGAATCAGGGATGGTGATTCCAGTGCTTCCCGACATGGAAACACATGAAAAACCTCTGAAGAGGCCTGACAACCTCTTCATACGGGAGGGTTTATTAATCAAGGATATCAAGAGTCTACATTGGGTAGTACTTCTCGGCAGTTTCATCCGACGTTGTGCTCTGGCGCGCTCCGCCGCTCCGCCCTGCTGCCCTGAGGCCGAGCTGGAAGTCATCATCCCCATGCCGCGCAAAGCGCCTGACATGATGTGCTGCGTGGTATCCGGCAGACCCGCCTCAGTTCGCCGGGGACATCGCGGGTGTTTGAGGATCCGAAAACGGTTCAGTGACGTTCAGTGCGATTGGACCGGCGATTGGGATGACTTCTGATCTGGTAGTTCACGTCACCCAATTTTCAAACGGTCCATGGGTTTGTACCAAGTTTGCTGCATGCAGGTTCGATTGCTTCAACATTGCGCCAAAATAGATCTCTGCGACTGTGTCACGCTCCATTCCACTCCATTCCATCAGATTATTTTTCAACAACGCAGAACAAGGATATATACCCCCAAAAACACCCTTCGCCTGCTCACAAAGGCCCACGGACTTCAAATCATCAGGATTAGAACCTCAACGCGACTGGAGTGCCAGAGCCTTTTGTTAGCATTAAACCAGGATGCAGTACCCCAAGCTAGTTTCAATGTTTATCATAGATCGATGCGACTTCCAGCATTCACAGTAGCAGTCCAAGATGCAAAGGCAAAAATAATCAGCAAACCTTCAATGAGCTGCTTCACCTGCAACATGCCCATCTGATCTGGCGACCCAAAATGACCCCCAACCAACACCCAGAACAACTCACTTGAATAAAAACATGAGAAACACATGTGTGAAAAAAGGTGTGAAGACCATCATCTCTGCAGAACGGGCAATCCATCCATCCATCACCGGCTTCGGTTTGTCACGCGACGAAGAGACGTCGCCCCGTTCGCTTCTTCCCGTTCGGGCGACGGTCGGTCGGTCTTCGCCTCCCCGGGCTTCACATAAATGCCCGCGATGGCGTGCTGCCCTAGCCTGACACAGCGAAGGACGTGCGTGGCGCGACGCGCGTGACTCGCGCCGGCTGAGCACATCTGCGGACGATTTCGAGCTCAAAAGCGGATCACTTGGACACATTAGGGGCTCCTGGCCTTACTACTAGGAGCGTTCGGACGCTACGAACGGAGCATTCTGGATCACTTTTGGTTTACTTTTGGATCGCACAAAATCCTTCAGGTCACGATCAGGCGACTGTTCGTTGGAGACATGGAGGGAGAAAAGGGAATATTAGGAGGTTTTGCGAAGCAATCAACAGGCTGCAATTGATGGGTACCGGATGAGCGTTTGCAGAAACACGGCTGGTTCTCAAAGAGTACCAAATACTGGACATGGAGGAGTGGCATTACTTATTATTCAACTTGACCTTTTGAGAGCACATGAACTAGCTGAGAGAAGTCTCTAGCTTGAATAATTATGTTGATGATTGTTGCTTCTGCTCGGTCCATTGCCAGCTTAAATGCTCAAAACACTGGCTCGTACCAGCTTCCTCGCTGTGGTCAGCACGACCTGAGAACCTGACCTTGCACGAGTGCGCCAGTTCGCCTACCAAACCCAGTCTGAGAGGGTCAAAACGAGCCCGGTTGATTTCTGGTTGACTTCCCCAGCCTATCTGTTTGTGGGAAACAAACCGGTCGCTCGCTTCCCCAGTGCTACGACAACGAGAAACGGTTGTGACCTCGGTCGTCTCGGCTCGCATCAGCGTCTTCAGTCAGTCCTCACTGGCCGAGATGCAGCATGGTTGTCGAGATCATCAACCAAACCACAAGATTCACCACCAGCGACACCTTCACAAAGGTCTTAGCCTCCTGAGGCCTTGGTCAGGGGCATGGGGGAGCATGGCGGAGCATGGCGGAGCCGGTGGTGGAGCCTGGTGGCCATTTTGGGGCCGATTCCCTCGAAAGCGGAGATACTCAGGAGAGATGCACATCACATGAAGATTTTCAAAGCCTGTGTCCATGTAGGTCTCATTCGGACCTCTCTTCTTTTGAGGACCTGACACTTGGAAGCCCTTGGAATCGAGCATGAAAAAGGCAATTCAAGCCAAATTGAGGGGTACGTTTAGCAAAGCGAGCATGGATTGAGGCTGCCTTCTACTAACATTTGCTATTGACAATTGAGCAGAAGAACATCGGCTACAGGTCAATATGTATATCTTCATGTTTCTCCATGGTCGACACCCAATGGACCTAAAACGACCTAAAAATTACCCTGCTCGACGCGAAAGTGTTGTGCTGGTCTTGTACCACCATGATCCACCAGCACTACGGCCGACCACCTGGCCCAAATTCAGCCCCGAATGTCCCAACTTCGGACCCAAGACCGTCTTTGGAATAGAGATGATAGAGGGTACAGGTTGTACAGGTACACTCCCCTTTCTACGACAAGAGGTGGCATCGATGGCGGTGGGGCCGACTGTCTCCCGAGCCTAGCGATGGTCACTTCCTTCAAAGCTGAGAACAGCGGTTGTTCCCGCCTGTTGGCTCCCAGCATTTTGCCCACCAGTGCGGCAGCAGCAGAGGAGATGCCCACGGCTGGCCTGCGAGGTCAGCATCGGCTGCGACACATGTCGACCCCGTCATGACTCGGACACAGGAACGACAGGGACATCCAATTGACGACAGTTGGGTTTGTGGGATGTCATCCCAACTTCTTAAACCACGAATATGGCATATATTATTCTTTTGAGTGGAATATAGTGGAATACTTCAGGACAGCTTTATACTTCTCTGGTGGTATCAATCAGAGTGGCAAAACATACTCTGCAGGAGCTTTCGAGAGGAATTGCCTAAGACTTGGTGAATGTCAATCCTTTGCGAAAATACAGCTTGATGTTGGAGTCCGTGCAGGTTCATGTCTCTTTGTGTTGCAAACGCATCAAAGCGCCGCACTCGCAACGTTTCTTCGGCTCTGAGCCCCTGGATAGCCAGTCGAATTCCTTGGGGAAGCCAGTCGACCCACGAGTCGAGATCGAAAGGTGAAGGAACTCGGTACCCCAAAAGCACCCGAGATCAAAGCCACCCCGTTCACCCGACCAATACCCCCCCTGTACCGGTCCGTTCTTGCCCATCCGAGTGGCATGAAGGTGAGGCCAATAAACTGATTGGCTGCCACATGTGCAGCCAAAGGAATTGTTCCCAAGAAGCCCACCAACAAGGCACAAATCTCCCAGAACCACCATTCGCTGCCTCAGATGATGGATGCTCCCTTGGTGCTGTTGGAGTGCCCTTACTGCGAAAGCAAAACAAGAGAAGATCCCAAGACGCTCCAAGTGGAGTCCGGTCACTTCCCGGTGAAATTGATCGCTCTGGAGCGAGCAGAAATCAAAGAGAGGCCCATTTCCCACCACTCTTTGCAGTCGAGCGACCCATCTGTAAAACGCAGGGGATGGCCACTTTCAAATAGGCTCCCCATTTTCGAAAACTCCCCTGTCCTCGCACCGTGAACGGAGTCGGATGGTTCGTTCCGCGTTCGGAACGCCGCGTTCGTTCACCCGCATCCGCGGAACTCGTTCCGTCGGGTTCCCCGAAAAGCGTGCCTGCACGAAAAGCCCATGTGGCAAGTGGTTATATGGTTCTCAAGCAAGCGGTCAAAACCATGTTCTTGGTTCCAAAGATCACCAAAAAGGCTGCCAGTAGACACTCCATCCCGGCTGTAAAGTGATACATCCGTGTTGACCAGGATCAGTCTTATGCCAAAACACACGCTGTGACTCTCGTGGTGATGCAAATGGACAGGACGAAAAAGAACGGTAGGAAAAAAGAAGCACATACAGTAGAGTCAAACACAAACACACACACACAAACACCTGAAAAGGCAAATCCACAAATGGAGTTCTGCTCGATGTTTTGAGCATTTTTTGCTTGGTATTTTGCTGTGCACAGGCAGTTGATGTGCATGCAGGGCATATCCAGACGCGACACGGCTCTCAACCAGAAGGTTTTTTGCCGCCCCCCCGCCTGGCAGCCACACATCGCGTCGCTTCATCCCCAGCTTGGGCGCGATGCGGGTGACGTACAAGGCGATGAGAAGCCACTGACCTGGCGAAAGAATTTCCGAAGTGTTTGGCTTGACATTTCCATATTTGAAGATCTCATCTGCGACCCATGCTAAAGGATAAGTTTGAACCACCGTGGCATATTTTGTGCCGGAACAATGTACGCTAGAACAGTTGGGAACGAAAAGAGATGTCGCTCTCCTCTTTTGAGGCGTCAACGACTCTGTTTGACTCCATGGATCGAGTCGGTAGATCGAGTCGGCCCCCGGTTTGATGCGGCCACCCCCCACACCGATGGTCCCGTCCCTCTAGAGACCGTTCGCGACTTTCCGTTCGGTAAAGCCCAGGTGCAGGTCCAGGTGACACCGTTCGCGAAGCCAGCACCAGAGTTGCCCAGCTTGAAATGGAGCACGAACAGTGCACCTGAGAGGGTGACAAAACGTTTGCCTGTCGACTGGGGGCTACTGGACGACCCAGCACGGAGAATGTGGACTTTTAAGTTTCAGGTGAGTTAACCCTGCTTGAAAAATTCCAAATGCCATCTACTCAAGCAGTTCGTCGCTTTCCAACATGTTGTGAAGGCCGATTCGCTTGGCAGGTTCATCGTTTTCTGGGGTTTGTCTCGAAGCACCAAAAGATGGTGGAAAGAGCATGTTATCCTCTTTCCATGTCCTAAGGTAATCAGGCATCACTTCCAGCTGCTCCCACCCTCCCGGAAATCAGGTTCTGATTGGCAAGAGCCACAAAAGCACGGGTTCCGCTAGAAAGATCTGGCTCAGTTTTCTGCCAGGGCACACCAGCCAACATGCAAAAGAGAGGAGATGATGTTGATCACCAAGGGCGGAGTGGCAATACACTGATTCTGCAAGAACTTCGCCAATGCCTGACACTGTCGACAGAAAAACAAAACACATGGTCCAGCAGTCGACTGGAGCATCTTCCACAAATCCTGACACGAACATCCAGGGTCCTTCGGTCAAACCTGGTCAATCCGGGACTGGACCTCACCGCACCTCGCCCCGCCCTATCCGGCGAGTCGAACGCGTGGTGAGAGGCATCTTGGAGAATCTGGGAAGTAGCACAAGGGATCACTCTGTGTTGGGCATTTGTTCTGGATCTTTTTGTGGCAACAATGACCCCCCAAAATCTGTACTTCATCTTTTCACATGTGGGTGTAAGTTTTGGCTCCATCTGGAATCCTTGATGGATGATGTTTCTCATGGACATCAAAAAGCATCAACCATACCTTGGGCTTGTGTTTACGGGTGGGGCCTGGATCCTTCACTCGTTCTTCGTTCTGACGGCTTCGCTGGGTGAACACCTGCTTTTCTTCCGCCTGACCGGTGAAAACCATCGAACCTCAGCGGGTGGGCGAAAACCTGCTTTTTCGGCCAGGAACGAAGGACATCCTTCAGCAGCAACGAATTCTACGTTCGCTTCTTGTTACCACTAATTCTACGGCACCTGTTGCTAGTAGCGATGCACTTGTTTCTGCCAGCATAATCCTTGATCCATCTAAACGCCATCCTTCCTGTGGGTCAAAAGCGGGACAGCCTGGTGGACTGAACATCAACAGAATAGACAGATTACCAGGTTTCGGTCCACCTGCAGTTTGGGTCTCCAGGTTTTGACCTTCTCGAGGAACATCTGACCCAGTCTCCAACCGACACGGCAGTCGACTCGGCAGTGTTTTAGCCAGTCCAAACGCCTGGTATTGAAAGAGGCAAAAGAGCGCTGGCGCTGTGGTGCGGTTGTAGGCTGCCGCTAGCTGTGCCACATCTGCATGTTGTCCCAAGCGCAAGAGCAAGGGTGCTGAATAGCAAAGAACCGGGATGATCCACCTTTCCAGCAAAAGAGTCGGTCCAAAAGGACGAAGAGCGTCGAGTCGAGTAGGTCCTTCTTTGGATTGACCAAGACCGTCTGAATGAAAAAGGTCCAGAGCGAAACTCTTGTGGTCAAAAATGGTAGGTCCCAAAAGCTCACGTTGCAAATGGTACAACACACCAAATAGAACATCTTACACCCCCAGAAAGGGTACGTACAAAATTGTACAAATGATGCATGCTGTGACAAACATAAGGCATGTTCCAGAGCTCCAGGCTGGTGACAAATTGCAATGGTACCAGAAAGACACTGTGTCTCTCTGATCTTTGTGCTAGGAAAGGTTCCAGCCAAGCTGGAGGGAACACTCACTGACCAAAGAATCGTCATCTCTCACAAAAGAAACTGATAGACTCTGATAAACCAATGGTTCATCACAGTTTCAAAGACTTCTCCTCTCCATCTCCCCCTCATACCTGATTTCGACACGCCCCATCCACTTTCAAAAGCGTGTTCAATCCTCACAAGTAATGTTATTGGTGATCGCAAAAGAAGTGGATTTGGTGGGGTCATTTGGCTGAGAAAGGATTTGCTTGTCGGCACGGTCATCAAGGAATGGCTTCCTCAAGAATTTGCAAGATCTATGAACAGTCCCACTTTAGGGGGCATGGTCATCACTCCCTATATCTCCCAATTCAATATTTTGATCCAGGAAGCAGCAGCTGCAAGGTTGCAATGAAACGCCCCCGCTGGAATTGCTCGCACGCCACTGCCTGCAGTCAGAAGTCGGAGACCCAGCAACCACGCCAGCCCCCACGCCCAAGATCAGCAAAGCGACGAAGTCATGAGACCCGACTCATACAACATGTATACCACCCACATGTGTAGGTCCTGCAAATCAGACAAAGTGAATCAAATTGAAGACTGTTGTGTAAATTTGTGTGGCCTGGTCTGGCTATTTCTGGTTGGTACACTTACTGGGATCTCAAAAGGCCTACAGTTGAAACAGTCTTAGTCTGGATGCTGAAAAGGAGAACTGATTCAAGCTTGAACAGGTTTTCCCTCTGAGCACCCTGAGCACCCACCCAACCGGGTCTTTTCTGTCCCACTTGGGCTGAATCCACGCCCAAGGGGCTTGGGGAGGGCCCGAAGCGTGGACGGCAGCTGTTGGCATTGTTGGACTGCCCCTTCCCTACCCGCCAAACACCAAACACCTTCCCCAGCCGGGTCGAACGGCAGGGGCCATTGGGGTTGGCAGGCGCCACAACAAGGAGACCCGACGTCTAGACCTCAACGGTGCTGTCACTTCGAGGCTTGCGGACGAAGAACCGACTTCAAACACCCCCCAGACTTCAACAGGTCACGAAACGCATGTCACGAGCTTTCTTCTTGGCGCATGGGAAGATGTGGGAAGTCTCCAGCCCATGTGCCAAACCAGCTTCGTGGCATCAACTTTTTTCAGCGCAGTACCTAGCCGTTTCCTTTGGTCTGGTGCACGGGAAGCATCGCCTGATTGCCTGCGCCATAGGCTTGACTCACCAAAGAGTCCAAGGCAGCCAAGAGCCCCCAGCCGATGCTCAAACCTAAACCTCAGTGAGCCCCCGACGGAGTTTCGCCCGGGTTCCGCGGCCAAGTGGGCCAAGTGAGTCAAGTAACGGCCAGAAGGTGATCTCTCATCTTCCACAGCTCATCTCTCATGATAGATCCTGCTTTGAAAGGATTGAGCTTTGCCGGAGATGTCTTAAGCTCATGATCTCTGAACTACTCTTCCTGCGAAAATCCTTTCTCATCTTTCTTTTCAAGCCTTAAACATAAATTGAATCTGATTGAATCTGAAACACATCAGAACTCGCTCCACCCAATCCAACTAACTCAGCTTGGTGACAGTTCTGCATCATATTTCCCAGGCCCACTGCTGCCAAGGACGCTGATGTACTACTTTTGCCCAGCCTGGGCGGTGGCGCGCCGGCCCGCGGCGATGCGCGCGGCGATGCGCGCGGCGATGCGCGGAGGGCTCCGGGCAACATCCATGCTGTACGGTGTGGTCGACCCCTCTTGCACACCAGACGAGTCGAGTGATTCACTCAAAGCTCCTCGTAAAATGCCTTCTCTACAACAGACCCCCAGTTGGGAGACAAAGATTCGCCTTTCAACCAGAACAGACGGGGAAAACATCAGCGCTCCGAAAGCGAACCCCTCTCTGACACAGCGAAGCCGCGCAGATTCTCGGCGTCTCGACTAACTTCAGGGCTTTCGCCCGCTTCGACGTCCGTCCATCTTTGAACGAGGTCGTTCTCCTTGTTGAAGGCAACAGGGTTTTTTCTTGGGCGCCCCACATGATGACGTTGGTCTGCTCATTGAGCCTTGGAAAACTTGCAAGTTGCAGTTGCACAGGTGGCTCATTGGGTGCCTCACTTTCAGAATCAGCATCGGCCAACACCACATGCACAATCACAACCCTCAAGAAGCCAGTCGTCATACTTGCTCTGATCAATCTTCGCAAGGCTTCTCCCACCGGAACCTGTCAGTCGCCCAAACTAACCGGAGACAGATCGAGATCTCTCTCTCTCTCTCCGATGTCTTTCGTGGACCAATCCTCGTGTTTCCCCCCGATGTCTTTCGTCGCCAGCTTCCGAGGTGCAAGGTCAGAGCGCAGGAGCCCATGTTGGGCATCGCGATGCGCAAGACCTGGCAAGACCGAAGACGGACCTGGAGCACCGGACCGAATAGCCACCGTTGGGATGAGGCACTTTTACAGAAAATGGTCCGGCAGTATCTGGGAAAAAACATGAAGCAAATCCATCATTTCTTGTTTTGGCCACTGAATCTGCAGACTCTGTCGGATGTAGTTCCCAACATCACAGCTTGGACTCAAGCCTACCGGAGGCTAGCGGTGTCAGCGGATTGGGTCGGTTAGTGCCATGGAGTTAGATCGCACCATATGGAAGCCTCTTTCCACGGATTTTGAGGGGATGGAGATCTCTTTACGGTTGATTAGGCGCTCAGATGACTGGGTGAATCCTTTGACGCATCAGACCTTTTTGCCTGTGGGATTGGGGGCGGCTTGTGGTTTGTGCCTGTCCCTGCATTCATGGCAACTTGGCCGAAAGAACTCAGAAGGAGCTTTTCTTCTCCATCCTTTGCCGACTTCAAAACATGTCATTGAGCCTCCAAAGAGGAAGGAAGATTTTTTCAGGCTTTCCGAAGTTTGTGCTGGCCTTGGAGGGATTTCGCATGGGGGCTTCATGACGGGGATCGAGCCCCACGTTGCTCTGGAGATCTCTACTTTTTCTTGTGCTCATCTTGCGGCCAACTTCTATCCAAGGGTTGTGCAAGGAGATGTCTCTTGCAAGGCTGATGTGGGCCTCTTTCACCAGGCTATGGCAGGGTTGGGTTCTGGACTAGCTGCAGGCTTTCCCTGCCAACCTTTCAGTTCCATGGGGGCCATGCATGGCTTTAGCGATCCAAGGGCAAGCATTTACTTCAGGATCCTGGATGTTGCCTACTTGACCCAGTGTTCTTTTTTGCTGCTAGAGTGCGTGCCAGGAGTGAGTGGACTCAGGCCCATTACTGACGCTATGGATCGTTTTTGTGAAGTGATGCATTTCCAATGGAGAACGACCATTCTTCATTTGGATCGGGCACTGCCGTCACGTCGAACGCGGTGGTGGCTCCTTGCCCTTCCTAAGGACATGTCTCTACCGGTGCTGAGAGATCTTCCTCTCTCGCATGATCGGCAGCGACTTGGTCAGGTCATCACCAGTTGGCCTTTGTGGCCACTCGAAGAAGAGCAGGAGCTGCAGCTCTCACAGGCCGAACAAGACATGCATCATGATTCGAGCTATGGAGTTGTGCCTCGGCTTTTAGATATCAACAGCGCAGCGCCAACACTGCTGCATTCAGCTGCACATCATTTGGTGGATTGCCCATGTGGCTGCAGAGGACCGATTAGTGATGACACCTTACGTGCACGAGGCTGGCAAGCCACACTAGTGCAGTCAAGATACCCATTGATAGGACTCAGGCATTTGCACCACAATGAAGCTGCTTTTCTTGTAGGGGCACCATTTGGTTTAGTCGCATTGGAGGGCCGCAAGGCGCTTTTGCCTTTGCTTGGACAAATTGCTTCGCCCATCCAGGCACACTGGATCTTAGTTTTGATGCAAGAAGCCAATGGCTTGTTGGGTGATCTCACGCCTGAACAGGCACATGAGAGAATCGTGCTGCATCATGTAGATGATCACTTGAGGCAATGGCCAACCAGATCGCATGCTGTGCCACGGCCGGTGTCAATTGCCATTGAACACCAACCGCCGATGCAAGTGACACTGCACCAGACCACATCGATTCGGACCCTCCTTGACGCCACAGGACATCTCATTGGTGAGCATCTGGAGCTCGATCCTCCTGACGCAGCTTGGTTGCATCCGCAAGGGTACGTCCCGCCAGGACCTGTCAGCATTAGAGCTCGATTAGTTGGGCAAGGTAGAAAGCCTTTCACAATAGACATGGATGAGCCTGCGGTTCTTGTTCCAAGAGAGGGTTTGGATGACTATACCATTCACTACCAGGCGATGAGACTCTTTGCCAAGTCTTCATGTTCACAGTATGCCTTTTTCACACCAAGATTTGTTTCGCACGTTTTGGAAGTTTGGCCGCATTTTGCCCAACTGGAGATACTTCGAGCGCTGGAGGGCAAACAAGCAGCCATTGGGGTTCTGTGGGATTTGGGTCACTGGATTGCTTTTCGTGTGGAGCGCCAGGGAGATCAGTTGAAAGCCACTTCCTTTGACGGCCTCTCCTCCGAAGTCACTGCTGATTTGACCATTTTGTTCCAAAGATTTCAGTATGCTTTGAGCTGCGCCAGCGTGTCTGTTGACTCGCACTGCATAGTCCCTCAGACAGGAGGCACTCACTGTGGAGCGATAGCTCTTTTGCACGTCGGCTTTTGCTTAGGACTTTGGGACGCTTGTGACGAAACCACTGCACAGCTCTGGAACGAGGTGCTTTTTCAGCGCCAGCTTCGTAGAGGCGGGGGTCCGACTAAGGCAGAAGCAATTCAGGCATGGCTGGAAAACTTCCTGCCAACAAAAGGTGTTCCGATCGAAGCAGCCAAGTCAAGAGCCTCAGCTGCTATCAAGAAACTTGGCACTGATGCTTTGGATTCAGCTATCTCCACGACCGACCCGTGGAGAGCGCTGAAACAGGCAGGGGGAGCACTGAGCAAGCCATTCCAGTGGGTACAGTATGAAGAGCTCCAGGCTCACATTGCCAAGCGAAGTGAGGTCAGGTATGGCACTGCTGCCAAACAGGTGCAGCATGGCAACCGGGGCAAGAGAGTTGAAACGCTGCTCAACATCACTCCTGCAACCTTGGAATTGCTTCCAAACACATTTTTTGATGCAGCCGACGAGCCACTTGGCATGATCAGCTTGCAGACCCTACGTCCTGACCAAAGGGGCATTGCAATTGTCACCGAAGAGGAAGCTCTTGCCTTCCTTAAAGACCGCAAGAACCTTAGTACTGATGCTTTTGGTTTGCTCACTATTGGAGAGCTTGCAAACCCGGACGCTGATTCGCGTATTGAGCACATTCATTGGTCCGCAGTGTACAAGCCAACGCAGGAACCAATCATCATTCGCGGTTCGCTTGTTTCTTTAGGTGACATCAGCATTGAGAAGAAAACCATTTCAAAGGCTCTCACGATGCCTAAGGTAGACACTGAGGTGATCCGTATTCAAGCTTTTGCCGATGCCACGGACACATGGGAAGACCTTCAATCCGGCCCGGTAAAGCACATCATCGCGCTCATTCCTGCCCTTCGTTTCTGTACTGAGGAATCCTGCTCCGGGGCCTGTGGGCTTTTTCATCCAGCTGTTGACGAGAAGGTGCAGCAAGTTGTTTTGGATGCTTGGGCCTGGAAATGGCTAACAGCTGAAGGGAAGAAGTCTACAGCCAGCAAGGCTGAAGCGTTCTCAGTCTACATGAGAGTGACAGCATCAGCTCTGCGACAGATCTTGAAGCATTCTGGTGATCATGGCATCTTCGTTGAACCAAGGCCGGAGTCAATGCAAGGAAGCCACCCTTCCTACTGCGTGGTTTGGCTGAGCCGGACAACTTCTCACTCTGAGGCGCTTCACTACAAGCGCACACAAGATCTGGTGGTGGGACTTGCTCGCATGGGGCAAAAGCTCGGTTTGCGCGCTCTGCTCAAGCATGAAGCAGCGCTGCTCAAGATCGTCTACCCGGATCGGGCTTTCGCATCATGTCAGGTTCGCTTCATCTATGAGACGGGTCCGGTTCCACATGCCTTGAGCCGTGACCAAGTTGCCCAGATGCTCAAGGCCTGGGGATGGATTGCGCGGCCACTCAAGGCTTTTCGTTCCACAGCAGATGGCAAGTTCTGGGACATAGGCACCTCCACTGCACCTCCGGCTCCTATTTTGGAGACGGAGCATGGTGACCTCACAGTTGCAAAGAAGCGAGATGCTGAGAAGACTGCCAAGGTCTTACCCATTGTTTCTGCTCCCAAGCGCACTTCTGATCACATGAAGGCCTCGTTTGCTGGAAAGTCAAGTGTTTCAGCGCCCAATGACATTTGGTTGAAAACGGGTGGCTGATGAAGCACAGCTTCGGCAAAAGACGAGATTCTCTTCACCCACAACAAGGGAAACTCGAGCAGTGCGCAACAGCGCATTGGGGATCTGGAAGAGCGTTTGAAGACACAGGTGACCCAGCAGCTCAAGGATCTCGCCTCCCAAGGTGACATTTCGATGAAGGACAACATGCCAGAAGTTGAGACTCTGCGCACGGATGTCGAGGAACTCAAGCAGCAGCAAGAAAAAATGGCGGGCTGGATCAAAGAATCTGCCTCGCAAGTTCAGCAGTTGCAGAAACATGTCAATGATCAGGCAACTCAGGTTCGTCAGCTAGGTGAGACATTCCAGAAGCAATCACAAGCTCATGACAGCCAGATTCGCCATCTGGGAGAAGTCATTCAGACGCAATCGGCTGCCACGGAGTCAGTCACCAAGGAGGTCACTTCGCTCAAGGCCTCTTTTGCTGAACAGCTCAAGGCAGCCATGGACTCTCAGACCAACCGCTTGGAGGCGCTTTTGGAGAAGCGCAGCCGGACTTCGTGACTCCTCCAGCAAGGGAGGGCAAAGTGCCATTGCCTTCCTGGAGCTGTTTCGCTCTTTTGGTACATCTTTGTTTTCTTTGGCTTCATGCTCCGCATCGGGGAAGCGGCGCATCCGGGGCCATTTGAGGAATCAAGCTTTGTCCTGGGCACTGCCAATCTGGCTGGTGCTATGAACAGACAGGACTGCTTCTTTGATTTGCCACATGGGCTTTGGGGGTTCACAGAGACGCATCTCACGGACTCTGGTTTTCGCACTTTTCATTCAGCGCTTCGAGCACGAGGCAAACCTATGGGGAGGAACCTTCGTGCTGTGGCAGGCGCTCCGGCTCCGCCGAGAGTCCCAAACTCAGACTCAGGTGCATTTACTGGAGTTGCAACGGTCTCAGATTTTGCACTTCGGCCAATACATGTTCCATGGCCTGGGGCTACCTACACCTCAGGACGCATTCAGATGACAGCCACGTTTTTGCCGCATTGCCATTTGCTGGGGGCAGTGATCTATGGAGCTGCGCAAGGGCCTACTTTTAAGGACCCACTGCGCATTACTTCTGACTTGCTGGACATAGCCACACAGGAGCTAGTCAACAACTCTCGGGGACTCAGGTACATTGTCGGTGATTTCAACATTGCCTTCGGTGATTTGCCTCACTTGGCATACTGGCAATCTAAGGGATGGAAAGAAATCCAACTGCTGCAGCATTCTTTGACTGGAAGAGAGCCTCAACCTACCTGCAAAGGTGCGACGATTCGAGACTATGTGTGGGTCAGCCCAGAGCTGGCGGCGCTATACCAAGGTCTTGAGCAGTGGGATTTCGTTTTTCCGGATCATTCGATTCTTTTCGCTCGTTTTGCCTGCCACAACCCACTTAGGACAGCACTGAAGTGGCACATTCCGGGCAGTTTGCCATGGGATCAGATTCGAAAACATGACTGGCACAAGTCGCTTTCGAGTGCTAGCAGTTCATTTCAGTGGACGACTGACACCACTAAGGACTTTGCACGATGGAGTCACCGTTTTGAGCTTTCACTGCAGGGTTTTGCTAACACCTCAACGGGGCGGCTGCCCTATGGCTGTCAGGGCCGCGGTCAGCGCAGTGGATTCCAGAAGATCAAGCCGTTTCATTTGGTGAGCAAACCTAGTCGGCAAGGGGAGGTCACTAGAGAGACGGCCATTGGTTCTCAAGTGCTCCATAAGTGGTTTAAGCAACTCCGCAGGATTCAGGCACTTCGTTTCAATCTTTCTGCCAAAAGCGAAACGCCGGGTGCGGCAGCGTACCGCCTGCAGTGTTGGCAAGCAATACTGCAAAGCTCGGGCTTTAAGCCATCGTTTCCAGTTTGGTGGTCAACTAGATTGGTTCAGTTGCAGGGTTCGCCGGACACACTCTCTTTTTTCTGCCCAACCAGTGAAGAAATGGAGTGCATTTTTCATGATTTTCACGCCAATTTCCACAGTTTTGAGCGCTGGACCATTAGACATCGGGCCAAACTCGCTCAGCTTCGGAAAGAAACGGAAATGAAGCAGCTTTTTCGCTCTCTCCGACCGGAACAGAGAGGGGCCTTAGACACACTGCAAATTGAATGCTCCGCTACCATTGTGACGGCGGATCCTGTTGATGCTACCATCTGCCTTGACAGTGATGCTTTTTGCCGTGCCACTGAGGTCATGCATCAGGGCCATCTGGCCTTTGTTCAGCCCATTCTGATGGAAGATGATAATGGCGATTTCAGTGAAAAACTGCACTTGAATTCTGACATCCTTGCTGTGCCAGGACAGAACCTCACTAGCTGCGCAACTCTGACTTCCTTTCCTGATATAGAGCAGGAGTTGCACAAGCTTTGGAAGCCTCGATGGAAGGCAGAATCCACTGTGCCAGTTGATGCCTGGAAGCGTATCCTTGCTTTTTCGCATGCTCACATGCCGCGGCTTCAGCTCCATGTTCCACGACTGCAGCAGAGCGATTTTCTGCGGCTCTTTCAGGACAGTTCAGGTCTTCGCACCACCGGTCCAGATGGCTGGGCAAAGGAGGACATACAACAGCTTCCTGCCTGTTTGTTTGCTCAGATCATTCAACTTTTGGAACGCGTTGAAACTGGGGATCCCTGGCCAGACCAGCTAGTCCGGGGATTGGTGACCTGTCTTGAGAAGGTGGCAGATGCAAAAAGCAGTGCGCAGTTCCGCCCAATCACTTTGTTTTCGCTCTGGTACAGATTGTGGGGATCCTTGCGACCGCGTGCCCTGCTTAGTGCCTTAGAGCGTTACGCCTCTTTTCCAGCCTTCGGCTACCTACATGGTCGCAGCTGTCAGCAGATGACTTTTGTTATTCAGGCTGCAGTTGAACGTGCTATTCGTACTGGTGAAGATTTTTGCGGTGTTCTTGCGGACATAGAAAAGTGTTTCAACTTTTTGCCGCGAACTCCTATCTTTGCCATGGCAAAGAGACTCGGTATACCGTCCAACGTTCTCACTGGTTGGCAGAGTTTTTTGCGACAGATGGTCCGGGCTTTTCGGATTCAAGGAGAGACGGGCACTTTTCTGGATTCGGACACTGGATTTCCGGAAGGGGACTCCATGTCCTGCCTGGCCATGTGCATCGCAAACTTTTCGTACCACCACTACATGCTCTACTTCCAACCTCAGGTCACGGCGTACAGCTTCGTTGACAATCTCGAAGTTACGGCAAGGGCCATGACGCAGCTCCTGCAAGGCCATGCGGCGATGGAATGCTGGGCTGACATGCTTCGGCTCCGCTTGGATCAGAGGAAAACTTCATTTTGGGCGGTTTCAGCAAAAACTCGCAACGACCTGAAAGCCCTTGGTCACGCCGTCATTGAGTCAGGTCTTGATCTTGGCACCTCTATGACGTACACTGCCTCCCACAGGAATGCGGTAATGCAGTTGCGCATCCAGTCGGTGACACCGCTTTGGAGACGGCTTCGCCTACTGCGAGTTTCCTTATGGCATAAGTTGCTTGCTGTTCGCATGGCACTACTTCCAAGGGCTTTACATGACACTGCTTTGATTGTCATTGGCAAGCATTGGCTGGACAAACTCCGCTCAGGAGTCATGCGCGCTCTGAGCTTCGCTCGGGGGCTAGTCCAGCACTGAGGCTTTCAATTCTTTGCCCGCCGCTGACTGACCCCTGGTTCTATGATGCGCATCACACGGTATTTGACTGCCAGCGTCAATTCCAGTCTAGCGCTTTATTGCGGCAATGGTGGGGCGAGTATGCCCATGTTGAACCTGCCTCACGGACCTTTGGCCCCTTTGGGAAGCTCACATCTCTGCTGGCGGACCTGGGCTGGCATCTCACGTCAGATTTCCAACTTTGGATCACGCCTTCGTTTGGTCTTGCTTTCCTTACTCTGGATCGACAACTTCTGGACCAGTTTTTGCAACATGCCTGGAGCTTTGTCATTTCCAAGCAAGTTCGACACCGGCAGACAATGATTTCTCTGCATGGCGTTGACCGGCGTTGCACGACGCAAGCGCTTACTTCGCTTGACAAGGCCGACTCGGCTTTGCTGCACTGTATTCAGGATGGTACAAGCTTTTTGGAAAGCATCAAGGCCAAATTTGATGTCACGCATACGGGCCGCTGCTTGTTCTGTGAACACGCTGACTCGCTGGAACACAGGGCTTTGTCCTGTCAGCACTTCAGCAATATTCGCAGCCATTTTCCTGAGGTGATTCGGAGATGGCATTCCTTGCCTAAACATGTCACACATCATGGATTACTTTCGGCCAATCAGCATTTGCTTTCCTTTTGGGAGGCGCAACATGCTTTGTCCGACCAGCTTGACTCTTGGGAAGCTTGGCCGCATGACTCAGGTACACAGCACATTTTTGTGGACGGTTCCTGCGATCTGCCAAAGAACCCTCAGTGCGCTTTGGCCGGATGGAGCTGCTACTTGGCTAATACTGAGGAAACCATAGCTGCTGCACTGCTCCCCTTTTCGCATCACACGAGCGACAGAGCGGAGATTTGGGCCATAGTTATGGCGCTGGACTGGGCAGCTCACACTGCCTGCCAAGTTCATATCTACTCGGATTCTCAGTATGCCCTTGACGGCTTTGCTCATGTCATGAGGCAGGGCTTCATTCCGACTGAGTGGCGCAATCAGGATCTCTGGAAGCGACTTCAGGCCAGCTGGGAGCGACTCTCCAGCACTGTTCAGCTGACTAAGGTATCTGCCCACCTTGACCCTGCACTGGCGTTGACGGAGCATGATGCCTGGCTCCGCTATGGCAACACTTGTGCTGACAGCGCTGCAAAGGCGGCAGTGCGCACAGGTGGCTCCACTGTTCTCCGCGAGAGGGTTCGTCTCGCTCGTGAACAGGACAAGCAGAACATGTTCTTGGGGAAACAGCACCAGCTTTTCCTTTTGCACTTGGCCAAACACAGTTTAGCTTCACGGCCGGATGGCTATGAAGAAGAGGATGACACGGATCCCCTGCATCAGCTGGACTTGAATCTGCAATGCCATAGCAATGACTGGACAGAATGTTTTCCTGTTGATGTGGAGGCTGCTCTGAGCAAACGATCTTTCTTCACAGGATTTGGGTCAATTTTTGGTCTTAAACTTTCTCAGTGGATCATCCATTTAGATCGGACGGCGGTTGTTTTTCCTTTCGTGACTCTGTTGGAGGTCTTTATTGGTTTTCATTTGTTTTCTGGTTTACTTATGCCCCTTCAAACCATGAGGGCTGGGCAAAGCACCTGGGTGCCCATTGACACGCTTGCCGCTGGTGAGTTGGTTGGTCGTACTTTGGCCTCGAACCTTAGGGTTTTTGAGCTTCTTTTTTCGGAAACAATGGCGGCGTGTCAGCGTGAGTGTAGTTGGGGCTGTGTCGCGCGTCCGGCGGCGATGATCCACAAACCCATGAAAGCAGTTCAAATCCCGTGGCCTGAACATGAGGCAAATCGGGTGGCTGACTTTTTGTGGCACTTTTTGCGAGGGAAACCATTGAGGTATGCCCGTGAGCTGGCAAGGCAGCTCTGAGCTCTTTGTCATGTTTAGTTGCCTGCGGCATTGCAATCGCCATGCCCGGCACGCCAGAGACACGCGACGCTCTCGGCTGCGCGGAATAATAGTTCCCAACATCACGGCTTACTCCCATCTGCCAGATCTGCAGTCCGACAGAAGATATGAGCGACGAAACCTATAGTTCTGAAGACTTCTAAAGGATGGTCGATCCATTTGCGACTCATCTCTAGGTACCCAAAAATTGACATGAAAGGCCTCTCCCTCCAAGCAAAGCTGGGCTTTGTCCGCGCACCTGGTTGGTGGCTTGGCGCCAATTCGCAGGGATCTCTCCTAGACGATCCGGTCGAGTTCAACGATTCCTGAGATTGTAAGGGGCAGCACGGAAGGCGAGCATGGGAAACATATATAAACTAAAACAATCCTGTGATGGAATCCAAATCCGGGTTTTCTTTCATTGGTGGAAGATCTTAAGTAACATAGTGAAGCCACATCTTCTCGTTGCGTTCACGGGAAGTCTCATGGGCCCGTCCCAGAATCTGCTTTTGCCGTATCTGGAAGGATCGGTCGTTTACATCCTACACACAGCGAAAACCCTTCAGCTTCTCCGGGTTTCACATGGATTCACCCTTGTTTACAGTGTCTTCCAGCGGAAATCCAAAATCCTCACATCCGTGAGATGGGCTGACTGTCAGCGATGTTGGGCTATGACTCCACGATCTCTCATGACCAACTGTACTTTCCACGCAGTGAACATCCAAAACACAACACCTTTTTGCCGCTGAAGGCATTTTGTGCAAAGAAAACATGTATACGTATAATGGCAAACATTCGTGTGGAGAATGCTTACGTGTCCATAGGTCTATTGTCATCGTTCGACTTCAGGGCTGGAATATTTGAATGTCCTGACTTGAGATCCTCGGTGCGTCGAGGTAATCGAGGTGCCCTCACCGGCAAAGGACGTCTCCTGCGGGCACTCCGCCCACAGCCATCACGACGCCGAATCCTTGGTCAACTCCAAGGATCAATAGCAAAATGGTGCAGTTTCTTGATGTATATGGCAATGTCGCCGGTGTATTGAAATAGGACGTGCCCCGCAAAGACCCCTTGAAAGAAAAACCAAAGAAACATCCCCAACAGTTGGTCGTCGAAACCCGTCTACTAGGCAATGGCACTATCGCAAGTTCACCAACAAGTGTCCTGTCATTTGCCAAGCAATGCTGACTTCAGAAGCATGAACCTTTTCAATACGCCACGCGAGCATACCAACGCGGCAGTACGTCGGCATAGCACATATCATGTGCCCACATTTGTGTGCAAATACGACAAATAAGCAAGAACCAGCAAACCTGCTCGGGAGCCCGCCCTGCAGCCTGCAGTGCGACAGAATGACCCGACTGCAGAATCTCAGCGTGACGACGTGTCAGCATGTTAGCGTGGCACATGCCAGAGCATGACAACATGTCATCGTGACACCAAGCGAGCATATCAGCGTGAGCGTATCTAGCTTGGGGAGCATCTCTTTGCCGCCCGACATCTGCACATCCACAGTCCACATCGCAATGCTACAGTAGCTCGTGAGCAAGTCGACTCTTGCTTTCCACACCCAACCACGAGAAGGTCAGCTGCTTTGGTGCGGCCTTTGGCGTGGAACGCCGCGCCTTGTGACCCTTCCTGCATAGCCCTTCCTGCATAGAAGCAGTTTCACCTGTAACAAAGTGCCCTGGAATGCTGACTCCAACCATGTGTCAACCGACCACTGTAGCACGTATAGAACGCACAATCACACGGCATTCAAAGGCCTTTTTCTCTAAGGCAACCAAGCCATTCTGAGTGTGATCCGGAGAGGTTTCTGTCTTCCATTGCATCGCTGTGCCGCTGATCAGTGTACCACCAATGTGCTGGAACCGAGGACGGGGTCCCCTCTTGCACTTCCTTCTTTGCGCGCGCTTGGGTCTGGTATGGCCTGGTCTTGCGTCTAGAACGCAGGAAGGTGGATGATAGGCGCCCTTGCCCGTGTCACAGAACATTTTCGCAAAGTGAACACCAGGCATATGTGCACAGATCGCTTGGTCGGTGCTTGGCTTTTGCTGGCAACGCAGATCTTGGTGGAATTTCAGCTGGACAAAACCAATCCGGATTGGTCTACCGATGTCGCTGCTGTGGCAATTGGACCACTTTGTCCTGCGATGCGGTGTGTTGTTGAAATTTCGATCTTCACAAATGCCTTGCACCACTTACCAGTTTCATGAAAGAAACGGTTGGCAGTTTCTTTTGTTGAAGTGTGTGCGCTGCTGGTTTTCGTTTCTTCTTGCAGGTGGTCCACATCAGCGAAAGTGAGCTGAGTGAGGAAAAGAAGGTCATGTGCGCAATAATGCGCAAAAAGGGGCGCCTACAGGAAGACTAGGGGTGCAGTGGGGGTATCTGGCAAAGTCTGGCAGCAGTGTCTGCAGCGGTGTGCGCCAGTTTCAGCACCATGCCTTCGGTGCTTTGCGGTGCCCCCCAGTCAAACCAAACAGGTAAGTCTGCATATATACATATATCCCCGTTGCTATCAAGAATAGAGGTCGATTCCAAAAAGGTCAATGAACAATCAGCTATAGTAGGGCAGAGGCGGCAGAGGTGTTTCAAGTCATTAAATGTTAAAAGGTTGAAAGAGTGTGTGTAGTCATGAACAAAACCAACCGTATTCTGCCAATACATGACAATGTTTGCGTATTTTTTAGATCTTTCATAAACAAAAGGACTTCATGACATAACTCTTGTTTTCTCCGTCGGTCTGTTAGTCTATTGCTTCATTCCTGATGCTGTTTATGTTGTTTTTAACTTCCAAGAACCTACTGTTTCATCCTCTTAACTTGGGATTTCAATCGCAACCTAAAATTAGTTGAGCGCTCAAAAAAATTGTGCGCACGCGTGTAAGAATAGCCAAAGTGATGATTTCGTTGAACAGGCCTTTTACCTTTCCGCGCCCACCTTATTTTTGAATCATCTTTACTTAAACTACATGAGAAATTTAAAGTGACAAAAGCGTGGCTAACCAGACCCATTTTAGATTGTCGGTAGCAACGGGGATCACACACACTAACTGTTCTAGTCACCACAAGCGACGAGACTGCCTTGTAACAGCTGGCGCAGCCTGAGAAACCATAGCACTGGTCCAGGTACTGATTGACGCGCGCGTTTTTTTGTTTGTCTGCGCGCTTATTCTCAAACCTTGCGGGGGTCACCATGCAACGAAACTGTGGCAAGCCACGCCATATGTAAGGGATGAATTTCAGTCCTCTCCAAGCAGCTCCTGCACCTCTGGGAACTTGCCCCAGAACCTGCTCCGGAACTGGCTCCGGAACCTGAACCAGAACTTTCTCCAGAACTTGCTCTGCAACCTGCTCCAGAACTTGCTCCAGAACTGGCTCCGGAACCTTGTCCGGGAACAATACACACCCATAGATCTAGACGAGGTCACCCTTTATTCCCTGAACTTCTATCCACGTCCTTCCTGGTGGTATTTACCTGGCCAACCGGACAACACCTTGAAAGGGCTGTTTTTTGCTAAACATGGAGCCTTTGAAAAAACTCATTCTTCGAAGTCTCTGAGTGCAAGGATTGATTGTTCACCTGCTGCCTGTCTGCACAAGTGCCAAGGTTCTGCGATCGACGTCCCCATCGACACCTCCAGGAGCGTAGAGATTGCCCTACCCAGCTTCCTACTATACTTCCAGAAAATCAGCCCAAGAAGCAAACAACAACAACCACCACCACCACCGCCACCACCACCAAAACATCCAAAAACTGCAGCCCCGGAAACAAAAACTGCAGCCCCGTCGTTGTTTTTTAACACTCCCCCGAAAACAACCAGCCAACAAGTACTTTTACCAGTAGTGGTAGTGTTTGTACTAGTGCTAGTACTAGTGGTACTAGTGCTGGTAGTAGTCGTCATAACAGTGCTGGTAGCACTGATAGTGGTGGTAGTAGTAGTAGTGGTAGTAGTAGTAGTAGTAGTAGCCGGTCAGCTAAACCTCTGCAAAACTTCTACTTGGAACCTCTACCACATCCTAGAAACAAAAACTGCAGCCCCGTTGCTGTTCTTTTAGACCCCCCCTCCAGAACAACACCTCAAACAAACAAAAAACGGACCAGCCCAGACTTCAGTCAAAAAGTCCAACAAGTCCACCTACTTACGAAGCCAACATTCGCTCAAACCTTCAGCCATATCCCTAACCTTTTCCCCACAACATGTGACAATTATGTTGGGCGGCTGTTTTGGTTTCTACCAACAACAACAACCACCACCACCACCACCACCACAACAACCACTTCCACTTCCACGCTTAGCCACGAGTCTGCGGTTCAGACCTGTCTCGAAGCACACCCTACAACTGTGTAGAAGGCTCGAAATGCGCGTGGTCCGCAAGAAAACCCATTTGCACCGGTCTGATCATGAATGTGTATCCTTTTGCTTGTACCAAGCCGCACGGCGGCGGATGTGCGTCGAACAAGTGGCTCACATCGAAGTGAAGATGATCTGACATAGCCCGATAAGGACATGGTTTTGGACACCCGATGACATGCAGAACATGCTGAAAGAGGCTTTCTCACCTCTGAGCTACCCTCCGAAAAACCAACCCGAAAAGCCGCGAAATCGTTCGGCTTAGCCTTCACCGCCTGTCTCTCCCACGCCTCAGAGCCATCTGGACGGATCACTCGCAGCACATGGACCCTGGAGCGAAGCGAACATCCGATCGATCGAAACGCCGCGTTCGCGCCGTGACCGTCGTTCGCTCGTCGTTCGGTTTCTTGCGAACGAAACAGTTCGGTTAGCTTCTTGTTACTACTAGTAAGGCACTTGTTACTAGTAGCGATGCACTTGTTACTAGTAGCTCCTTCTTGGGACGAATTTCTGTTCTTTTCTCATTCGACTCGGCTCTGGGCTCATCTGCGTTGACCGGTGCCGCGGAGCGGGCCACCCGCGGAACGCAGGCCTTGGCAGAGAAAAAGGCCTTTTCTGGAAAGAAGCAATACCAGAAAAATCCTGTTCAAGCATCAGTTTTGCTGCAGGAAATGGTGCAACATGGTGCAACTTCCAGTTGTGACTCCCAAAAATTGCATCGTCAAACCTATCGCCTCCCCCAAAGCGATCGCATCCCTTGTAGAGTGAAGCCGAAGCCACCGAGTGGAGACCGCGGAAGAACGTCGACTGCGGCGTTGCACCTGAGGGCGCTGACAAGCACAGCAACTCATCGATCTGGACCATATAAACCCGAAAGGAATGACACAACAATTAATGAAATGAGGCAAGCTGTGTCTTAGCACAGCACTTAGTTTTACTCTCGTTGCCTTTTTCTTTTATTTGCAGTGTAAGACCATCTAAAACCCTATCCTCCGCACAAAGATTCTTGTTTGGAGCATGAGCAATTCTTTTTGAACATTATCAGCAATCTTTTATTTCTTGCTGGCTGAGTTCCAAACTCTCTCTCTCTCTCTCTCTGTCTCCCTCTCCGTCTCCCTCGGCTGAGTGAAAAAAGACTCTCCTTCTGGACGACCAACCGATCAGCTTGCAATGCATTTTTGTGTCGAAGTTGCGTTTTTTACTCAGACAGTATTTACCGGACATGGTGTCAAATTGAACAAGCATTCTCGTCTTCGGTTTGTCGTTGACCCGGCAGACTTCAGACTTGCTTCAGTAGATCCTGCATTCTGAGCATTCTGACATTCATGGAGGTTCACCCTTCCAACTAGAAGGAATTGACCAACTAGAAACGGAACCCAACCTAGAACCCCCTGGCAAAGCACATGCACCTTTTCTGTGAGACTGCACATTTTGTGCACAACAGCCACCGAAGATGAAGGCCTTGAATACTTAAGCCACAAGAAGAATCACAAGCAACCCAAAGGTGCCAAAATCGGTTCTGCAGAATAGTACAGGGCTGCAATAAAGATCCCATCTCGGCTTTTGCAGAAAGCCTCATCTCAGGCCTTCCAATTGGAAGCGCTGGAAAGCGATATCCAACAAGTCTGTGCGCAGTTCAACTGCCAACCGGCAGCTAGGGATTGCTTTTGCACTTCTTTCTGACTCAACCCGGCTATGGAAAAAATGGCAGTGCGGCAGATTGCGGCAGTGCCCCAGCCGAATGACTGCAAAACTCTTACGGCAATCCCAGTGAGAAGGTCCCTCCTGAGGGTCTCCGGGTCGAGGACCAGGGCTTCTACACTGTGCGCGGAAACAAAACGACGCGGAACCACTGGCTCAATGGGCGAAATCTGTTTGCTCAACCAGCACAGTGGAGGAGACAGATCTGCCGCCCGGTGCTCAGATGACGATCTGGATCCTTCTCGAATGTGAGCTTCGCCTGATCCACATTAGGAGTTCTCGGCAACAAAAGTAGAATCAATGCAAACTGAAGCCACAGAAGGAATAAACACTTGTCGTCAAATACTTTCACATTGAACATCAATACCTAGCACACTACCACAACTTCAACTACAGTTCTGAACGAATCTCGCCCAATACATCCCGTGACCATTTTGTGCAGCCTGAGACCATGAGATCAGCTGAGAGACTCATCAGCTGTACTTGTATTGCCGGGACTGGCGGCGATGCTGACGTGAGTTGCGGCGTTCAGTGCGGCGATTGCGGCGGAAGTCACCTCACGGGTCTTGATTTAACATGCAAAACACAAGAAAAAGCTCTCCAACATCTTTCTTGCAAGAAGCATCAGAAAAAAACTGCACGCAAACGATGGAGCGGCATTAAACGTGAACATCTTGGTTAAAATTAGGTCGACTCCATGTCAAGTAAGCCAACGAGGCACTGTATGGCTTCTTCTTGGACGTCGTCGTGGTTGTGGTGGTCGTGATGTCTGGTGCCGTAGTGGTGACTGGTGCGCAGCAGTCAGCACAGCCTCAAGTGACCGGAGCACCGCCTTTGATTATCAGGATCCCTGTTTTGGTGGACAGATAGCATTTTGCCTGGGTTCCAAACGGGTCCCAAAGCATGCTTTTCGGGGGCTCACAACCTGCGATGACATGCGGACTTCTTTTTGGCGGTACGAGATTATGGGTGCCACCAAATGTGCAGAATGCGGGAGATCTCAATTCGTTTCACTGGAGAGAAAACATAAGCCAAGGAGCTGTCTGGCTCTGTCGGGTCAAGCAGGTCAGGCTGACAACAAACGGGATCACGAGGAACATCACCGCACCTTGTCGTGTTAGCCTCTGTGCAGTCATCAGGACGATAGTCCTCTGGCCCTTGGTAATAGCAGCTGTCCTCAGCGGCCATGCTCATCAAGCAACTACCCACAAAAAAGTCCCGAAATGCTTTGTGGAAACAACCTAACTTTGAACCTGTGCGCACCGTTCTAGCCGCATGAGCCATGTCAGTAAGGATGTATGACAAAATGTTATAGTCAAAAGCAGTCCTGTAATAACTTTGTGTTTATGGCATTTCCATCACATGAAGTGTCCTTTTGTGACAGTCCTGTACATCATTTACACCTCGAGAAACACTTTCTCAAGTCAAGCACCGACCTTCTGAATGGAACTTGGGGTGGATTGTTCTATTGCTGTTCGAGGATCTGAGCCCTCTTTGGTCAACGTCAAGCCTTCACAGTCGGAACCGCCCACGTTGTTCACACTGCAGTCCAAATCGATGCAAGAACCACCCTGGAGCGTGATTTCGGCATTGCGGCATGCCTCAGGAACCGTCCAGGGAAAAAGAATCGCGAGGAACTCTGCGAGTTCACCCAGTGAGAGGTCGGGCTAATGCTGCAAGGCTAAGCGTGTCATCTCACTCTATGAATTTCCAACCTTCATATGCAAGGCACAGTTTGCATATCTGGTTTTCCCCAAATGCTGCCAGCAATAACCCAGATTTGGCCTAAGCAAGATTCCAACCGCAGGTTTATCCTCATGTCCAAGGGCTGGTCATCCTTATAGTGTTGTAATGGAAGGTATGAGACTTTCTTCATTCATCTCCGCTTGGAATAGCACCCATCCAGCTTTCGAACACGGAACTGCCGTGTGGGGGACGATGCCGTGAGTGTGCAGAACTAGAACGGCACGTGTGGGAGAATTCCACGCACAAACGCACATGACCTGCAAATGGTTCGTATATTCAATATTACTTTATCATGTTGGTCTACGAAGAGAAGATACGATGGTATGAAACTCATCGATTGTTTGCACTTTCAACTCGGCAATAGGCATCCTTTCAGTGTGGACAAACTACTATAATATACTCCGATGTTTTTCCGAGTTTGTCCTGTTTTGTTTGCAGTTTTTTGCTTCACATTCTTTCCAGTTTTCTGCTGTTTGTGTAGATGTTCTTGTCCTTCCTTCCTTTTGTGAGAAAACATCAACTACCAAGGCAACACTGGGTAAAACCAAGATTCCAGACTGATCATACCGCAGCATTCAGTTTGTGGATGTGATAACTAACAAACATAGCAACAAACACCAGGATGACAGAACTTTGCACTCACTGTAGGAATTGCTACCCAAGCGAAATCATGCGTAATAAACCACTGCGATGACTCATGTCGGGAGACTCTTCCGTCATTTGTGGAACTCGTGCACGCGAAGGAGATGCGTGAATTTGAAGCAAATTCCTTGGTCACAACACTTTCCTCCCTGAAGGAGAAAAATCAAGCAAGTCGACTTTGCAAATATATGCCTCCAGGACCAACTCTCAAAACAATCCCTGCAATTCTCCTTCCAAGGTGGCTATTCCCTTCTTTGATTGGTTAGACTCACAAAAAAAAATCTTGTAATATCGAGCAGCCCTTGCATACTTGATGAGTTTTCCTCTTTATGCAGCTCTTCCTATTCTTGAGGAT